TACTTTTTTTCTTTTATTCTGGGATTTATTTATCTTCTATCATTGAAATTTTGTTGCCACTCCATCTCCAAGGTCACGGCCTGCTGAAAGCAGGTATCTGGGGTTTGTTTAGCTTTTATAATTGCAACTTTTTTGCTTAGAGTGGAGCTCAGAGCCCAGCCACAGCAAGGAGGAAGCTTGGCTTCCTCCATCACTGGAGCAAGCAAGCCTCCTGCTTGCTTCAGCTGCGTGGCTACCATCTTGGTTTGGGGGTAATTTGCATATCTCACTGATTAGCCAATGGGAAGTGTAGCGGAGGTATGGTTAATTTAATTTCAATCTTTGTCTATTATTAGATAGGATACCCTGAGTACAACTTCTACGTTTTGGAACTAAAAAAAGTGCAAACGGAGTTATCTTTTATATTGTATGGTCAACCATGCCTCTGCATAAGCCTATGAAGAGGGAAGAGTTGGAGCTGAAAATTCTCATTTTACAGATATGCATGAGAATACTATGAGAAGGAACAGAGATTTAGAGAGACTACCCAAAGTTCACAAAGCTAGGATGTGGTCAAGAACCTAAGACGTTCTGGCTCCTCTTTCTGCTACATGTTTATTTAAAAATATCAATGGAGCATTTACAGTGGATAAGGGATTAGGGACACAGAGGACGTACCTGCCTTACTCTATTGCAGTGGTTCTCAACCTTCTGGCCCTTTAAATACAGTTCCTCATGTTGTGACCCAACCATAAAGTTATTTTCGTTGCTACTTCATAACTGTAATGTTGCTACTGTTATGAAACGTAATGTAAATATCTGATATGCAGGATGGTCTTAGGCGACCTCTATGAAAGGGTCATTCAACTGCCAAAGGGGTCGTGACCCACAGGTAGAGAACTGCTGCTCTATTGGAACCTAGGTAACACTGAGCATAGAACTAGAGATAAAAGATCACGGGATGTGGATTCCAGCTGACCCACGCTCACCCTGACTCCTGCTTCATAAGGACCTGGGTCACTTCAACTCTCTGACTCTTGGTTTCCAAATATTTAAAAGGGAGATTATAATCCCTGCCACATAGAAGTGTTCTAAAGATTTCTAAAGGGCTCTTGACAAAAATGGGTTAATTTAATGAACCTTGACAAATTTCATTACCGCTCTTAGGAAAGAAGGTAAATGATTCCAATCGGTCCATTTCTAGCAGAAGACTACAGTCTTCTAAGAGAAACAATTTTTTTGTTTGTTTTATCCTCAGAATTATAGCAAATTTGACTGGTAAGTCAGAGATTTTCTCTACCACGAGACCATAACTGCCTGTGAATTAAGTTTGCTTGGCTGTCTGGCTATCTGGCTTCAGCCAGCAGAATCTTGGGGGAGCAAAAATAAATAAATAAACAAAGTGAACTATTCTGGATAGCCATGTCACTGGCAGAAGCAAATGTCTCAAGTCCCAACTACAAATAGCTCCTAATTAGGAAATAATGATGCCCCCCAAATGGGGCTACATGGGTGTAAAAACATCTCACAAATTGCTGATTAGTTTCATAGCAGCGATGGTATTTAGTGCCACTTCAGTTAATAGAAAATGCGTTGGAAATGGCCCATCTTTAGCTGAGGGAGAGAGAGAGGGAGAGAGAGAGAGAGAGAGAGAGAGAGAGAGAGAGAGAGAGAGAAGGCTGGGGATGAGAAAAGGCTCAAAAGACAGGGAATGAGGCCAGAGAAAAGGGAAAATGTATCCTTTTTTCTTGGAGAGTGTACTGTAATATGAGTTAGGGACGTGTAATATGAGTTAGAATGGGAAGAATTTTTATTTTATTTCGATTGTAATGGAAAGGCATTGAAAGCTTGAGAGAAGTTGAGGGATATGATCTAATTAACATCTTGAAAAGATGACCCTGGCTTCTGTCTGGAGAACGGACAGACATGAAGGCAAGCGGAAAAGCTAGGTGGAGGGTTAGAAAGCTATTGCAGTATAGATGGGAGGTCAGGGGCTGGTGACAGTGGTGGACACGATGAGAAGCAGATGGATCCTGGATGAATTTTAAAGATCATCCAGACTTAAGCTGGCCATTGGATTGGATGTGAGTGGGAAAGAGGAGTGAAGGATGGCAAATAGGCTTTTGGCCTGAGAAAGCATGTCAGTTGTAGTATCATTTCCTGAGATAGAGAACTCTCTGACTTCTGTGTATGTTGTAGGGTGGTCCAGAGTACTTTTAAAGACATTTTAGGTTTTGGATGTCTTTAACATCTCTAGGTGGAGTTATAAAATATAAATAGGTATGTGAGCTCACATATATGTGAGTCCAGAGTTTACAAGGGCGGTTAGACCCAAATAAGAAATTTGGGGATAGTCAGTGGCATTTTAAGTCAAAGGACTGGATGAGATACTGAAAATATAGTAGAGAGTGAGGTAAATCAAGAACAGGTTCCAAAGGACTTCATCTATCTGCCCATCCATCCATGCACCCACCCATCAGCTATCCACTCTTCCAACTAGCCATCCTTCTACCCATCCACAAGTTTTTAGTAGGTGCCCTCGCTGTGTCATATGCTGGGTGGGGTGCTGGGATTCAAATGTGAAAAATGACATGGCCCTTGCCTGGAAAAGCTCACATTCCAAGGAGAGGTAGCACACATGAAAAATATGGTAAAACCTGCCAACGCCTGGATCAGCCAGGTGTTACCTCTGCTGCTGGGGAGAGCTTGGAAACACTAAGAAGGGGTTTCTACTGGCAATACATCTTGGAGGAGGACTAACTTTGAAGAGGAGAGGAGGAGGAGACCAACATTCCTGGAGGGAAGAAGAGCGTGAGTGAAGGCACGGGAAAATGAGAGCAGATGGTGTCTTTCTTTGCAGAAGAGCAGAAAGGTCTCTGACGCAGCATAAGGCACGTGGTAGACAAGGGCATGGCAGGGACTGGAAAGTCTGTGTGCTGGGCCATGGAATTTGAACTTGGCCTGTGGGTCATTGTTTTAAGCCAAAGGCTTTAAGTGAAGGAGAGGTGGAGTAAACATGGTCATATTTTGGTTTTAGAAATGTCCTTTGATCTGGGGGTTGTCAAGTAAAAATTAAATCTGGCTTTAGTAAGGAGTGAAGTTGTTCAGAAAAATTACCTCCAGTGGGGAGAAAGGGGCTACAGCAATAAGGGAGAAGGACTATTGGGAAAGGGAGAATGCTCTGAATATAGATCTGCAAGCGGCTTAAGGGTTAGGCGAGAAGAGTTTTTCTTTTATAAGGAGGAGCAAACAGATAGAAAGAATAGGATGTGAGGAAGTGAAATGAATGGGAATAGCATGATTGGACAACAGGTTGGAAACTCTGAAGCCAGCCCATCCCCAGGAGGGGCTGTTAAGGAGAGGTTGTGTGCCTGCTCAGGCTGAAGGTGGGCCAGAGTCAGGGACCCAGGAGAAGGACAGAAGCGTAACCAAAGTTCAGTCAACAAACATTCTGTTTCCAATCATCAGTGGGGACAAGAAGCTCAACAAATCCTTTGTGAGGCAAAGGAAGGGAATTTGAGAGCGGTCTATGTGTGGCCTTGGTAAACAAGAGGGACATCCATGAGTCATATTTAAGTCACATAAAGAAGGGTGGTTCTCTGCAGTACACGCTGTTTCCTGGAACACAAAAAGGAGAAGTCTTTAACCATCACTTTTCCCCACAATTCACAGGGCTTGGCAAAGTTCACCATTATCCAGAGTCAAGACTGCAAGTGTGGGACCTGCACAGGAAGATGAGGCCCTGATAAGGGACGTTAGCAAAGAATGCAGCTAAAATCCTGAAGCCAAACCATGGATTCTTCCCAATTCCACACTTCCCCCTATACCCCTCCAGTGCACAAAGGCGGGAAATCAAGCTACTTCCCCTTTGCAATAATAATAAGCCTGCCTGCAACATCAGTGATGCCCACCATGGCGGCAACGATGGCAACAAAGACCACAACTCCGTTTCTCATTTTCATATCAATCGGCAGAAATTATCTTTATTAGAAAAATGAAATTTTCCTGTATTTACATTTTTACACCATAGGACCGGGCACTTTCATTGCCTTGGGAGTTATTTACAGATCAGTTTGCACACACATTTCAAACCCCATTCCTTAAAACAGGTTGATAACACGTTGAACAAAAATAAAAGACGTAACTACAAGAAGACAACCATAGTACGTATATACTTCCTCTATCGTAGAAAGGTGTTAAGCAAACGTGTAATTTAGTAGCTATGCTTGGAAATATTTAATACAGTTAGTAGCACTTCCTCATGCAGTGGATTAAAATATGACAGGTAGAAGCTGCTGTGATTGGTACGTGAACATCTATTCCCAAATGGAAACCACTGAGTAGAGCACACAGCTTTGGGCTCAGCCATACAAGAGATCGAGCCAGTTCTGATGTGGGGTTTGGACTGTGTTTGAATGTGGCTGTGAATGGAAACCCTCTCTAAGGAGCTCAATCCCATGCATGTTGGGTTAAAATAGACTCAGATATGGACCTTCAAAGGTGCACCATTCAATTTCTCGCTTGTGTGTAATGACCAGCTTCTGTCTTAAAGAGTAAGTCTTCTAACATGAGTGAACGATGAATAGTTTACCCTCTGCTTCTGTGTAAAAGGACATTATTTGTTATTTTAGTGACCTACTTCTCATTCAAGCCACCAAATTAACTCGCCAAATTCTTTCTGAATATTCAGCTTGAAATATATATTAAACACGTAAACACAAACGCACAAACATTCTTTCATGATAAACAACATTGAATTGTCCTGACTAAATAATTTGGCAAATAAATGCTTTCCACTTTGTTTTAGCAGGGGGATAAACAAGATTAAGATTCATAGCTAAAAATAACTGATAAATCTTTGGGGACTCTCGGGCTTGGTAGGTGTCTGAGCCACATCTGGCCATGTAATTAGTTATATCGAGGAGTTTATTAAATTTTCTATGAAAATCTTATTCTTCATCTTATCTCTTATTTGAAAAAAAAAAAGAGGCAACTGACATTCTTTGCCAAGAATTTGGGAAATAAGAACGTTACAAGTGCCATGTTCATCTTCCCCAAATGCATCAGAATTTGACCCCAAATAGTTGTCTGAAGCTTTCATTTCTAAACATTTCCTTCATGGTCATGGCCTCAGAGAAACCCAATACACTTACGATTTTAAAAAATAAAACAGGGCTAAAAGTCAATACTGTTCATTTATTTGAATCAGGTTAACTGAGAATAGAAACAATTCAATGCCTCAGATGGCTAATGTAAAAACCTTAATTGAATTCAAAAGGCTAAAATTGTTTTTCCATGGAAAAACTGACCAAATCTGGACCTTCTCTATTTGTTCAGCTATCAATAGTCTTTGATTTGAGCCCTTTACAAGCTTAGAACAGCAAAATGTCAGATCAATGAGAAGTATTTAAAATGCCAAAGACAAACTTTTGTTTGCCAGAGAACAATTAATCTTATTAATTTAAAAGGCAGCTGTGGTATTGGTTACATGTTATGTTAATATCCTTTTGAAGGCTCATCTTAAATCCTTCCCAAAGGTGTGAGGGAGAATTAAGTGGAAGAGGTTATGACTCAGGGTTATGGCTAATGAGGAATGTTCTGGAATTGCAACAATGCAAAGACATTGTTTCATGGATAAGGTGCATAAGAGGGATTTATGAGTGATAACCTCTTGCTTGTTTCTGCATACTGCTGACATCTTATTTGAGGAATGTAATCTGAGAAATGATTCCATTTTAAACAATTTGGTCTCTGCTCCCTGGAGAGCTGTGTGCTTTGAAATACGGCCTCGGTGAAGATATATCACTGGCCAAATTGTTCTTTTGAGCGTTCTGGATTCTACACAGCTCAACTTCCCTAGGAGGATATGGTCTTGCACTGTAGACCAAACTGCAGGACCTCCAAATAGCTATTAAATCATATTATAACCTTTCTGTCCTGAGACATTTTACTGCCAGTTTGAAACAGCTAGAGAATTTCTCAGGGATGAGGACAAGGGTGCTTACGTGAGGTTAACTGACCATCCTGAGAGATTGATTCACAGAACCTTCTAGAAAAATATTCCTTCAGATCTCAGCTCAGTTTTCTCATCTATAAAATGGACCTGGTATGCTGCCCCTCACAGTAAATGTAAGTGCCAGGAGAGACAAGTGTGGCTGAAACCATGGGAGGGGCGTGCAAAAAAAGAATGAATGGGCTCAGTGTCATTGCCTACATGATACATTAAACACTACATCATTCGGGACTCCTAGAATGCCTAGTGAAAATATCCGAAGTCAACACTCTGTAAAGAGACAAACTGAACAAGCATTCACTAATTCAATAGTTATCGTGATGTCAGTTACTAGGAAAGTAACTCTAAGATTTTTTTGGGGGGGAATAACAGATCAAGAAGGAAAAACAGTCTTACTAGTTGGGCCTCAGTCATTCTGACCACCAACCTCTTAATCATTTATGCAAAACTCTATTTGCTATTCTCTGTCACACCTCAAACCTTATTCTGTCTGCTTGGTGAAAATAACCAAACATCTAGAGGAAACAGAAGGGCCAGTCCATTTCTAAATAATATGGCCTTTTGGAAAATGTGTCAAAATGTTTAGTTATGAGACCTTTAATGGAGCCACAAGGCAGCATGTGTGCGTGTGCACGTGCATATGTGTGTGTGTCCACACACATGAAAGAATACTATTTGCATATGTTTAATGGAATTAGCCCTGATGTCTATTGAGAAAAAAAAAGGAAGGGGATATTTAAGATTAGGCACATGCTAAGTAGAGAAAATAACTCTCCAGGAACCAGAAAAGCAAATGCTAAGCACAAGCATATAAGGGAGAGACACAAATGGCATTCAAGTCTCAGAAGGGACTGAGAACAGATCTGAGATCCCCAGGAGTTCTCAATGCACCCCCAAACCAGGTGATGGGGGTGGACACTGACTAACTTCCTCACCACAGAGGCTGAAACTCAAGAGAGAGCTGTGGGGACCTCTGAACAGCATATCTCTCTTTCTGACTTCTATTCTGACCTCTCTGGAGGAGATCAGGCACTTCAAGAATATGCCAGACATTAGGGATTTATTAGCAAGCTTTTGTTACTGATGAGGCCAAGATTGCCCTGAGCCTTGGTTTCCTTATCTGTCAAATGGGAGCAACCAGACTTCACCCTAAGGTTATTTTGAGAATCACATCCTAGGATATGCCTGGAATATTGTCTGTACTCAACGTGGATATATTTTAATATTTTCAAATTCAACTTCTGACTCAAGGCATGTACTTGGGATAAGCAAAGAAGCTAACATTCCAGTAATGCAAGAATAGGATGGACAGAGAAAAAAAATAAGCTCCATATCCGCCCACCATCTTCCTGAAATTTCCTTGCCCCATTTTCTCTCGAGGGCACCTGGTGTGTTCTCTTCACCAGCCAAAACAGTAGGCACTTGGGACTCAACAAGGAATTCTCCCTACTCCCTTCCCTGATACATTTATACCCTGAACTATCAAAAATATTTTTCACAAGTCAAAAACAAAACCAGAGAAGAAAGCTTTCAGGAAATAGTCTTTTTTACATCATGATCTATTTTTTAATCCTTTGAGATTTTTTTTTCAACCTTTCCTTGAAGCACATGACAGAAAGCAGAGCTAGAAGGAGGCATGATTTGGCAAGGGCTTGAGCGTCGAGTGGAATCAGATCTAAGCCTGTCTGTGCAAAATGCGGAAGGGCAAGTTTATTCACCTGGTTAGATACCCTTAGGTTTCCATCTTTGAAGATTAAAGTAATCAAGGCATCCCCAGGAGAAAAAACTGTATCCTCCAAAGTTACTTACAGATCTAGGGGAGGGCTTCATTGTTTGTTTGATCATAGAATCAGATACATTTTGATTTCCTGGCAAGAATTATTTATCATTTCTAGTTTCTAAATAGTAGATTTATCAAATCTACTCTGTGTTTGCATTTCATGGGTCCTTGGCTATCTTTTGTATTAAGAAACTGAATTTCTAGACCATAAGCTACTATTAGAAAAGACAATTTTCTATTTCCTTTGTGGCTCCTCCATCCCAAATTGGCCTTAAAGAGAGATTAGACACTCAGTCAAGTGCTATCAGCTGATCAGTGTCAGTCAAGTGCTATCAGTGATCAGTGTCCTTTGCTCATCCTTGGCTCACAGGAAAGAACTCTATCATCTCAGCGATCACTGCCAGCTCTCATCTTTGGTTTGAGGTTTTAAACTATATCCTTCATTGACTCTTCCCAGGGAATAAGTCCCTGAAACAAGATATTCTCTTTTCCAGGACTCTGAGGCAGGGAGTGCTGGGGAGCTCGAAGGAAAACTAAAATTCAAAGAGGGATGTTTGGGTCTGCATAAGGCAAGAGGCAAAGAAAGATGGGTCAGTTCTATAAGGTCCTCTGGCTCTTATCCCACAGGTACTCAGGAGAGCTCTCAAGAGAAACCTAGAAATGAGTCAGCTGGTCAAGAGGACCAAGCTGGGAACTGGGCCATGAAGCCTTGGGTACTAGGCCATGGCTCCGAAACTGTCAACTTGACAATCCTACAGATTACTGTCTCCTTGGGAACTTCATTTCCTCTTAGTTTTCTCACCTCCCATCCCCTTGCCTCAAATCTTGGTGACTTCTTTCAGTTATGTTTGTCTAAGGCCCTTCTGGGCAGGCACCTTTAGCTGATAACTCTTCTGAGAGTACTTCTGGCCACAGAAAGAGTTCAGGTGGGGGAAGAGAATAAGGAATTGAACAGAAAAAAATGCCCTCTGATGACTTTACAGAAATCACATTCATGTCTTTATCAGCATTGTCTTCAGAAGCAAACGTGAGCAGAATATACTCCATGCCCCTAACTCCAGATACATTTTTAAAGAAGGGGTCAAGAACACCAGCATCCAAATCCCACTTGGCTCTGCCACCCTCCCTAGAACTGAGATTTTTTTTTAAAAAAAAATAGTGCCCTGTCTACATAAACATCATCCCATCAATAACCAGAATGGGTTTTCCATGTGTTAATACCATCACCACCATTTAATTGTTAACATAAACTTTACAGTATGTACAATTTTATTTGGATAATACACTTACGTGTGAATTATAGAAATCAAGCATGTATAGTATATACATGTGTACACAAGCATTTGTATTCACAAGATAAGTGCATTTGATCATCTCTGATCTCTATCAAGTGGCAAGCTGGCCTCATCTGGTACAAGTAGGTATGAACACAGTACAGTGAAAAGGGAGAAAATGGGTACAGGGCAACTGCATATTGGGAGACCTTTTCAAGTATAAGCCCCACTTCACCTCTCATTAAGCACTTTCAACCCTGTTCACCAAAAGAAGATGGGGGTATCCCAAAATGTCTCATTTTGTCTCAAGTGAAAATAAACACTGCTTTTGGAATGGAAATTATCTCTATCAAGAACCCCTAGCACATAGTAAATATCAACCAATGAGTTTAGATTCCACCTACTCAGTTTTGTTTTGTGTTTTTACCTTGAAGTCCAATTACGTCTACGATAGCCATGGGTAATACAAACAGGCTCTCTCGCAGAGACAGCTCATGTCCCCCTTCCAAGGCCTCATGCACAACAGCAACGCACAAAGAAACAGTACGGGATGTGCATCCAGTTAACAAATACATTCAGCTCTTCTGAAAGGTATTTAGGTTTCTCCCATTAGTATTTATTTAGGTCTCAAACTGCAAGGGATTTCAGTGTGAGGTATTTATTTATATGACAACTGATTATTACAGCTGCACTTTTTAGGTTTAAAGAAGATAAATTTTTAATCACCATTTAATTAACACCAACTTTTTTTTCCTTTTTCATTAGCAATTCTATTTGCAAAGAATTCAGGGCATTTGTCATTTCCTGAGGAGGATGCAGAATATTAAATACACATCAGCGGTAAGAAATGTCAAATAGAGTAAACAGTGTGCGACTGTATGGTGGCCGTGGATCTTTTTACTAATTAGCTGCCTTGGCTAGAGTCCCACTTAAGTGAAGCTATTTCATTTGTAAACAAGGTGTAATTTTCTTTTTTTCCCTCCCTTGAAAAGAAGCGTGAATTGATTTGACTAATTTTGCTGCAATGGGTGAATTTTAATGCCTTTGTCAGAAAAGCTATATATAAAACCTTCTCAGGCACCCTCTGAAACAGCACCATGAGACACTCGGTCATGGTGCTGGCCAAAATCCTGCAGTGAGATTTCCATAGGATGGAAGAGTGATGCAATGTGTGGGGAGATTATCATCTCACACCTCTCATGGAAGCCCCACTGGCAGAAAAACAGACCAATCAGGAACTTGCCTTCTCAGAGCATTGCAACCGGAAGTGACCTAACAACCCCAGTGTGTGAGGATAAGGAGCACGCTTTTCCAGATGTGCACATGTTTCCCAGAGCAGAACTCATGCCCTAGATTAGAAGACTCTCTTCCTAACACAGAATATTTTAAGTTGGTTGCATGTGGGCAGGAGCATGAGCATTTGCGTAAAGGTGTACCAGTTGGGTCCTCTCAAGTGGAGAAAATCATGTAGAGCTAATGAAACATCATTACGATGCCAGCTCTGACTGCAGTCAGGTGAAACTTGGGCACAAAGTTGGATTCAGAGATTCTGGCTCCTTGGCATCAACAAATCTAAGATGACAGAACCCTTGGGGATGAATGCCTAAGCTCAAGGCTTCCTATTTCATTCTTGTCACCTCCTATATTGTAGGCATCATTTACAGTTGGGTGTCATATTCTGATATTCTTTTTCCAAAGAACTGACTGGATGTGGATTATCTCTGAATAACTCCACAACATCGCCTGTCACTTAAAAATTGACCATCTGACCCATGGCAATTTTCTTATGTTTGGGATCATCCCAATGAAGAGTCAGTGCATTAGTGGAGGAGGGAAATTAGGTATTTATTATATACTATCCAATTCTGATTGTCTTTTAGAGAAACTATGGGTATAAAAGGAGGCATATTTTTTCCAGCGCACTACTACATATTTTTTCCAGTACTGTTGGTTCTTCCAAAAGCCACACTTTTAGTTTCTTATCCAGAGAAGCATGGGATTAATAGCAGAAATAATGCTGTTATTAGAAGACTTTGGGGGCCAAGGAATCCTTCCACGTGTAATTTGCACTCCCCTAGAGATCTCTATCACAGTGGCAACCCCATGGGTTTTGAGGACACTGGACGAAGACAAAGCCTCTTTGAATTAATGACATACAACTTTTCTGTATTCTGGGGAGACTTTTTAATTCATGTCATGCAAAGATGTGACAAATTTATGGGAAAATCCTGGCTGGGGAAGACAGGTCTGGAATGCAATGGAAGGGCAAAGGCAGAATGTTCTAAAAGACAATCAATGGTATACCTGAGATTAGAAATTGGGGTGACTATTCAAGGTCCTTCAGTATACATTCCTCCATTGTTGGGTCTAGGGGCAGCAAAGGTGCAACATCCATGAATAAAATACAGTGTTCAAGTGCATTTGTCATCAATGTCTAGTCAGCCCTTTCTTCCTTTCTACCACAAGGTTGATGGGACACCTTCTCACCCATTGCCTTCCTCAGCCTCTCTACCACTGACTGAAATTTACTGCAACCAGCTTTCATCATTCTGGGAATATTGTAAATCGGGTACACTTCCCCAAAGATGGAGCCATTCAGTGAATTCTCAAGCTCCAGGAGAATTATTTCTGGCACCTACCCATTCACAGGAAAACACTACCTACAAAACAGAACACACCATGAAGAAAAGAAACAGGATAACTTTTCAACCTGACATTCTGTCCCCTTTTCCAAGAACCCAAAGCAAAATGCAGGAGGAAACAACTGTGAAGCTAGTCTACATTAGCTTAGGGTTTCTGCAGCATGTCGCCAAAGCAGACTGAGTTACTCTGAAAAAAACCTGATGGCTAGCTCTCCCAAATATTTCAGGGATATTAATGTATTTTAAAATACATTAATTATTAGATTAAAACTGTATAAAATATTTACTCTTGTTTGTGGTCTTAGTAATATTTAATATTTAAATATTAAAATTCTGGTCTGATAAAGTATCATAACATAGCAACTGTCTTTATTTATTTATGTAGGCACTTTGCATGTGCCAGGCACGGTGCTAAGAGCTTCCCAGGCATAAAGATTCCCCTTTCTCCCCCAATCCTGCTAGATGAGTATCATTTCATATCACACACGCACAGGTTTGAGTAGATTAAGAATGAGATACTGGAGGGGACTCAGAAATGACAAATGCTTTGAGGAATTTTTCATCTGTCTCTGTTGGTGCCAATGAAACAGTTAGCCTCCAACAGGGTGAATATTTCAGAAGAGAGAACTCGCTTGTCCCACTGATGTTTACCCACAATTTGGAGGATGCTCAGGGAAGATGCAGGAGTGTCTCTCATGTTTTGAAGGCTTTTGATTTGAGGAGGCTGGGGTGGAAATGAGTGTCCAACTAAATTCCATGACGGTAAGAAACATAAACCGAAAACCACACCAGCCTTCTGCAGACAGATGGCACTGTACTTCTTACAGATCACAGCGCACATATGGCTGTTGGTGCCTGCCACCACATTAACAACCCTGGAAACAGCAACACACAGTTGATTGGAGCCACCATGGCTGTTTGGGGACTGAACAAGCTATGGTTACTCTGGAAGGAAAGGGATAACAGATACTATACAACCCTGAGTCATCACCAGAAGGGGAGAAATGCAAACTTACGTACACAGGAGTCTTCAGGATAAACTATAAGGGCCGCTGTGTCATAGACAGAAGATCCACACTTAGATATCGAAGACATAAATGTCTTAATTTATGCAGTCCTGAACAAGACCAGAAGCCAAGGATGAGAGCGCGTCTGTGAAACACACAAATGGACATCCAAAGAGATTCTTACAGCTCTCTGCCTGAGGGCCCTTCCGGCCTTTTACTCTAGATGTGTCTTGGAAATGGACTCTAATGAAGGTAGTAGTAGAGTTAGCATGAAACGCACTGATTTGCTATTCTTTGGGGGAGCCTGGAGTTCTGGGGTTGGGCCTGGACTGTGATGGAAGGCATGACAAAAAAGCTGAAATGGTTACAAAGCCAAACTTCCTAATCTCTTGCACATGTCAATCTCGCTACAATGCAGATGCATTCTTAACTGTTTTATTTGGTCTGTGTCGGATTTACATGCATACCATATTGCTTATTCTGTATTAGAGAAACCGTTAGGTGTTTATGATGTGAAAATTGCATGGTGGACTGGCTTAATGGAATTTGGAATATAGGAAATCACAACATCACTTCTGGCATCCAAGGCATCATTATTGCCAACATACCTAGTGGGCATGTCCAGGAGACTTGCCCTTTGATTTATTATTTTTGGTTAAGGACTCACCTATCTGGTATCTGCCATTCTCAGCACACACCTCACAAGATTCCTTGAGTGGAAGACTATGGCATGGAGCCATGTGCAAAAGAACCAACAACAAAAAAAATACCTTCCTAAATCCTCTTCCTCTTTGCAGGGCACTATTGGACATCCAACATTTTCCCTCCAGAATGTTGGCCATTACGTATGTTTCCCTATTGATAAAACATTAATGGAAGGTTTTAAACATCAGATTCAATACTAGGCATTTTCTTGTACACACGTCTATTGCTGCAGGAATTCAAAACCCTGGGGGTAGAGTACGTATTATTCTTATTTGCAGCATAAGGCATAACATGCTCGGAAATATACACATCGTTGTGGCCTCTACTGTCCCTGGAACAGTACGATGCCGTTGACCTCAAGGAGGATCGAAGATAGCTGTCATTCATTGTCTGGGATGGCAACGAGTGTTTATACGAGTCTGAGGGGCATCTCCCAATGACTAAGCGTTGGTCATCCCCATAGGAGTGGAGGAAAGGGTTATTGGAGGTGTGGTCTGGCAAGAGAGACTTGCTCCGCTTGCCCTCCTCCAGACCCTGGGGGAAGAGGGAGCTTTTGTTCCCCAAGAGTTTGCTGGAGGGGACACTGACAAGACTCCCGTACAAATTTCCCTCCAGAAGCCGTTCCCTGTCCTTGAGGCTTATGCTCCGAGAGGGCCTGCTAAGGTCTATCTCCCTAGGCTTGTCGAGGATGTTATCATAGGAATGCTGACGGCTAATCCTTAGCTTGTTCTTTTGGAACTGGAGGGCGTTGTTCTGTGCCCAGTCCTGCTGGTAGACCTCCTCCTGGGTAGCTGGATTCGCTGTCTCCTGAAGCATCTGGTCTTCATCAATGTCGTAGAGGTTCCCCATCCGTAGGCAGGCATCACACTTGAATGGCGACCTCATGGTGAAATGGCCTGAATAGGTGGGCAGGTTGGAAAGGCAGCTCCTGCAGTGTGTGGAGTTCTGCCTGTAGCGGTCACTGCCCTCGCTGAGAGGGGAACTCTTGTCCTTCAAGGTGAAGTGCTTGGAGTAGAGCTTATACTGGTCATTGTTGGGAAGCCCATCTTCATTGTGCAGAGGGTTCCTGTTCATGGGCAGCGTGGAGTCCCCCTTGCGAAAGTTCTCACTGTGGTCCTGGTAGGCATCTGGGAAGTCCATGTTCTCGGGGAGGGCCATGTTTTCAACAAACTGGGGGGGATCTAGGTGGAAACTGGGTTCCTTCTCACCATCAATGGTGTAGATCTTGTCCCTGGGGGAGCTCGCTTTGGTTTTCAAGTATGAGCGCTCGACCTCGCTGCAGTCCTTGGGATACTTGGAGGCCATTGACCTTTTGAAGTTGTCCTTGGTCTTGTGGCTCTTATTGTTGTCAGGTTCCCTGTGGCACGTGGCCCGACTAGAAGTCTCTGAAATGTCTGAGTGGGCCACCTCTTCTGGAAGGTACCTGGGACTCTTTAGGGAGTGGGTCCTATTCTCCAATGTTCCCTCCTCCCTCTGGGAGACTGGGTTCTGGGTCATTGAATCTTGGCGCAGAGAGTCCATGGATTTCTTCCAAAGCTGCCGGGGCCTGGAGTTCCCTTTGGATTCTGTGCTCACGGCCACCTCCACCGTGTTAGGGTTAGATTCGTTGAGAGTCAGAGGGTGCTGGCCCTGGAACACATAGTTATTGAGGTTGTCCTTGTGCCTGTTGGCCACAAATGTTTGGAGTTCATTCATATTGTCCCCAAAAATGCTGTCTTTCCCCTGAAAGGACCTGTTGTCTGAATATATCAAGTTTCCCTTGTCTGAAACCATGTCCATGATCAGGGAACCTCTTTGGATAAGGTCGGCAGCTCTTTTGGGAGAATCCATTCTTGAGGAGTTCATGTTGGACATGTTTTTGGCTGACCGAAGGAATTTTAACATGTTGCTCTGTGAGCCGGTCAGGTTGAAGTCTGGAGACTTCTTTTTTTCTTCAATGTGCACCCCGTGAATGCAGCTGTAAATGCCCTGTGGGAAGTGACATAACACACCATCAGCAGCAGCAAGAAAAGGAAACCACTCCACACCTGAACTCTATCTGCAAAGGTGAGATATGGCCTTCTTGTAGGAGCCCTGGAGAAATAGCAAAATCCAACACAAAGCCTGATAATGTTTCTTAATGGATGAGACCAGTGGCAAAGTATCAGCCTTATCTTTTCTCTCTGGCTCAAAGTTATTAAACGCTTTTGCAAATAGTCATACATGAAGCTTGAGAAAAGGCATCAATGAATGTTCATATAACTAGGAGGGTCTCAGTGCCTCCAAATTGGCATGTATTTAATCAACCCTGTCAACACCCAGATCACCAACTCATGCTTTTTATTAAAATTTCTCAGAGTCATCTTTGGAGTTTGGATACCAGAGAATCAGCTATTGACAAACAAACTAAGTTGACATTAAAGGACAACCTATTATTAATTCTTTTGGGGAATTACTCCTACCCACACACTGAAGCTATCAGTCAACTCATGAGACCCAAGTAGGTCAGTCAGAAAATCCTTTCTGATTCAGTATAGGCATGAAATCTATTAGTATGTGTGATGAATCAGATTTTTTAATTTTTTTAGGAATAGACATACATGCTAGGATACAAGTAGCAGTTGCAGGGGACCAGTCTTGCCACCACGTGGGGACATTATCCTGAGAGTGAAGCCACCATAGAAAAAAGTAGAACTCAGGGGATAGACAGACATGCCATAGGTCAAACCTTTGGGGCCACTCTCTCAAACTTTTCTCTTACTTCACTCGATATAGCCTTTGTGTGTTTGTTTGTGTGTGAATTTGCTCAACATAGAGTTGGGTTTGAGCTGCGAGGGACAGTGGAGAGTCCTGATGATACAGTGTGCTGCATTTAAATCCATGCAGGGATTTATGGACCCCTGGGGAGCTCAAATATAGGCACGTCCATCTACATGTCTGTTTTCCACTACACTTTCTTCCATTCTTAAAAATAGCTGTTTACTTCTACTTAATAGTAACTCCAGGGAAGAATTCGGTTCATGTGCAATAGTAGGCAAGAGGGCATCGGTGACATTGTGTTTTGCGGTCCCCCCCTGCCCCACTCCTGCTCCCACAGTTTTGGCAGCCAGACCTAAAAGGAACAATCATATCAAGCCGGCAGGATTTGACCTGGTCCTCCCAAGACTGATGAGGAGCCAGCCTGAGAGGGGTTTGTAAAAGCGAACACGGCAGCTGCTGCTGACTTTGGCATGGACTTGTGTAAAGCATACGTGATTAACTGTGGACCGTGATAATAGTGGCTCCATCAGTTCCCCATGGTGGGGACGAGTTTCACCCGCAGAGATGCTCAAGGAACTGTGACAGCCGCAAGCCTGCTGTACTTTTCTTATAGTTTTCTGGAGACAGTCTCCACTCCAGCCTTCTAAGAGAGGTCAACAGAAAAGCCTACCTACGGTTGTGCGTTTGAGCATCTCTCTCTCTGACACTCAACCCTGGGCTGCGTGGTCCTGGCATCCGCGCCCTTTCCCCACCTTCCTGCAGCCTTGTCTTTAGTCTCCTTCTCTGTGTCCTGTGTGGCGGGCTGTTCACCTGCCAGGAGCTTCTCTCTCCTCCTTATTATAAATTTTTTAGCTGCTCTGTTCCCCCTGATCTGTCCTTCCTATGTCACTGCACCTCTCCTTTCACACCAGGATGAACATGCACTGCCCATTTTGTGGGAGCTACCCTTTCCTACCAAAGGTTTGTTCTCCAAAGCCACTGAGGCTTCCTTCTTAGGTGAGCAGCCAAGACCCTCCTCGGGAACCAAATCCCTGGGCTTGTGTTTCTTTCCTTCCTGCAGAGTTCACTCTTTCTGTATTCCTCTCTGTTATTCATAATCCTGGCTGCATTTCATGGATTGTGGAATTAGGGTGCCCTCTTGAACCCACAGGGGGCTCATCCCAGGTCTGGACGAGCCAGAAGCCTTTTTCACTGTTTCCAGCTGTCCTATCCAAGCTCATCGGGAAGATGCCTGGGTTCCTTCTCCCGAGTCCGTGGCTTTGCTGTGTCCCCCATTCCTTAAATCTCAGGAGACAACCGAGGCAGTTCTTTGTGCTGGTGACAGTGAATACTTTTTTCTACATGAGAGGGAAAGCATTTGAGAGAGAAAACAAACGTTAAGGGCATCCTGCAGACAAGAGGGCACAGTTTGGGAAGTTGTTGGAGACAAAGGCCACAGCTGTGGGAGAAGCTTGGTTCTGATGTTAAATAAGTGGTTTCTTTGAGCTCTGGCCTTCTCCCTGGGCAGCTCCACACGTGCACGTATCTCAGGTTTGTATTGGTTCAAATTATCCAGGAGCTTCCCAAGGGACAAGCCCACAAGGAGGGTTGCATGTCTGTGTCTGTGTGTCGCAATAACTTTATGTCTATTGTCTGGCTGATCAATATGCTAAAAAAGAGAAATGGTGATGGAGAGACCTGGCTTGTGTGCAGAAACCCTGCCTTGGGGTAGACGTGAATTTCAGATGAAAAGGTGTCTGACACTGACAAAAACAGGAGACTCAACCCTACACACTCAGACAAAAGTTCCTCTCTCATACTTATTTTTCTGGCATGAGAGATGAAGTGAGAAGACCTCTGTTGTTTCAAGGAAACGTAGCTGAACAGGAGGGTCCCATTCTAACCTGTTGGGACTCGGTTTCTCCATTCATAGGATGGGTGTGATCAACTCAACCTCATAGGATATGGCGAGGATTAGGGACAATGGCCCAGGCTCTCATTTACACACGAGGCACAATTCATTGTGTCCTTGTAATCTTCTATTTGTAGGAAAGTAGGTTCTTTGCTTGGGAATTCCCCACTGCAGGTTTTATTTCACAGGAAATGACGGTGTGTACACACTGAAGACACTTTTGCTTTGGTGTGTGTTCTCTACACTGTATGCAAGCATATATGTAAGGTGGCATGTGTGTGCATATGCACATCAGACCAGTTTAAAAAATGTGTGCTGGCCCTTGACCAGAAAAGGAAGAGCACTTTTTAGCAACCCAGAAGCCCTTCTAGGCGCAGCATCGGGGGCTAAGCCCATTCTGAGTTCCCTTAATAAATGAGAGAGAGATTTATTAGGTAAACTCAGAATGAGAAAAGTACATTAAGGATGAGATCTTTTTATTCACACGTACCAGGCTCTGCTTATTTTAAAAGACAAATCTCATCTGGGGAGAAGGAGGGAGGGCAGTTGCTGTTGTAGGGCTCCCTGCAACCGTTGGGGGCATGAGTGAGGATTGCTGGGAGTTTCAAAGGGGCACACAAGTCCCTTCAGTGCTCCTATGGGATGAGGGGTCTACTCTGGCTTAGGGAAGGGAGGCTGATATTCAAATTCCAGCTCTTCCAGCCCGTCAATGCACAACACAACAACAGCTGCTCCTGTGGGCTCAGTATCTCCCCGCCCCCAGCCCCCCGCCCCACCAACACTCCCATTCTTCAAGATGCTTGGAACAGGAGTGAGGGATTTCGTTCATTTCTTATAATAATGATCCTATCAACTTGGCTTCCTTAATGGTATCTCAGACAGAGGAAATGCTTTTCCAAACACAGCAGGATTTATAAGTAAATGCAACAGTATGCATTTGCCAATAACAATCCCAGAATCTTTGGATATGGGAAGCCTTTAGTAATTGGCAGGGAGAATTAGCTTAAAGTTGGCATACCTAGCTATATGCACGCACACTGTTATTTTTAAGCAATCTGTGTGTTTAGATGCCATCAAGCTAATTAAGAAATATGTATTTGCACCAAACTCAAGTTTACAGTGCCATTGAATGGAGAAAATAAATCCTCCTCTCTAAGCTAATGTGTACCTTCTGAATCTCCAAGGTTTTTAAAATCACTAAATGCTAAGGATACAAAAATTCCTTTTTAAACAATGATTTGGCTTACTCAATAAAGCTTAGCATATAAAATTAGATGTTTTTAAGAAATATTTTTCACCATGTTTCAAATCCAAATTCATTAAACACATGTGAAAAAAAATTCCAAGGAGAGTAAATGGGAGAAATAGGGAGACAAATAGATTGGATGGGATGGATGGATAGATGGGTGGATGAATGAATGAACAGACAGATGAATGAACAGACGGATGAATGAATAGATGGATGAATGGATAGATGGATGGATGGATGGATGGATGGATGGGTGGAGAAAGAGATGGACAGACAGATGATTGATACAAAATCTATAATAATAAAAGCATAATATGCTAATTAGACCAGACAGCCAAACGACCTTCCGTACATCTTTCTGGACAACCTTCCAGATGAAGCCAGGGCTGCGAGGGCCAAGGCAAGCCACCAAGGCTGTGAGGACCGAGCCTCCTGCACGAATTTCATGCATTGGGCCTCTAGTAGACAGATAATGTTCTACTATGTTAGATGATGAATAAACAATATGTATGTATATGCTTTTATTATGATGTAAGTAAATTACTAGATTGTGTTGAATATGTGAACACATTATGTGAGTTGCATGCACATATATATTGTATAGTATGATTTGTATCAAATTTCTCATATTGCTTGCATTTGCTATTTGTTGGATGTGTAAGAGTGTGGGCTCTGGCCGAAACCGGTTTGGCTCAATGGGTAGAGCGTCGGCTTGTGGACTGAAGTGTCCCAGGTTCGATTCCGGTCAAGGGCATGTACCTGGGTTGTGGGCACATCCCCGGTGGGAGATGTGCAGGAGGCGGCTGATCGATGTTCCTCTCTCATCGATGTTTCTAACTCTCTATCTCTCTCCCTTCCTCTCTGTAAAAAAATCAATAAAATATATTTAAAAAAAAAAGAGTGTGGGCTCTGGATGGTACACTATTTAGATTCAAACCATGGCTCCACCACAACTGTGTGTCCTTGGGTAATACCCCTAACCTCATAACTCTGAGTTCCCCCATCTGTAATCTGGAGCTAATTACATAGAGTTGGTTTGTAGGTTACATGAAATAGAGGGTATAAAGTTTTTATAAGGTGCCTGGAACATACATGTGCTTCACAAATATAAGCATTTTCCATGATGGTTATTATTACTGGTGAATTATGTCACATGTGCTTTTTATGGCAACACCCACAAGCCATGTTATACAGAATAAAAGGAGATTTTCTTGTATTGCATGGGAACTCCCATCGCCTGTGTACTCTGTGCTGTAGTTTATGTTGGGCTGAATGTGTATTTTGCCTTGTTTGATGTGTGTGCATTTTCTCATGGGTCTTCACATCTGGCTTCATTGCAGACACTATTGCACTGCGCATGCTTTCCGTGTTTTGTTGGGGCATGTACACAAAGCGTGGCTGTGTGTGCAGATTACGTTTTGTCCTGCACGTTCTGTTGGAATGCATGTACACACTGTCACATCCTGCCTAGGGATGTTAGTAGTGTGGCATAGCATGCCTGGGTGCTAATAATGGAGGCCACAGACTGCTTTGTTTGGCCCACATGATGTTTTGTGTGTGTGTTTTAATGGAATTAGTTACTAATATTTAAAATAGAAAGGTTTCACGCAAAATCAGACCACTATTTTCTCTTTTACAAATAAGACCTGATAATATTCGCTCTGCATTCCCATCCTCCACTGAGGAGGACTGCCCCCTTCAGGCATGGCGAGCATTATGCAGTTTGTCACAGGTCCTGGGATCCTGCATTGTTCCCTCACCCAGACACCCAATTTCAGAAGCTATTTTTCACATCATTGGTGCTGCCTTTCTCATGCCCAGCCCGTTTCCCCCATTCACCCTTCTTTTCTGGCTAATATAGTCATCTGGGTTTGCAAACCGTGGCTTATAAACGCCCAAGATTCAGACCCTTTCCTGCAAAAAGTCAAGACACCCTGATTCTCTGGACGCCTGATGCTTCCCTGGACCCGCTACTGCAAAAGGAAGTGGCCGCCACGGGTACTGACCCTGCTGATGGAGAAGAGCAGCCCCGGCCGGTCAGAGCAAATGCCCGTGAAACAGAAGCGCAGCTTCCAGTAGAAGAGGTGCTCCCAGATGAAGGTGATGAGGCTGAGGGCCATGGCGGCCGCCAGCATGTAGAACACGCCTGCCATGTTGTCGATGTCCAGCTGACTGCTCATCACCTCGTTCTTCTCGTGGTGGCAGATCCCTGTGAGCCACAGCGTCTCCAGCTCCTCCATCTCACCTGCACAGAAGATACGACCCACAGGCAGTGAGAAGCGGGCATGCACTCTGGGGCAAGCATCTTTGGGTTTGGGATACACATCCATGATCTGTGGCTGTGTAACCTGAAGGCAAATTACTGAGCTTTCCTAGTCTGCATCACTCACTTGTTGAGTGAAGGTAATGATAATAATACCTACTTACTGTCTGTTGTAGGAAGATGAAATGAGATAATGTATAGTTGGGCATAGTCCCCTTTTTGCCTTTTTGCGTTTTTTTGTTTGTTCATGTCATTATCATTATGTTCTGCCCATCCTATTTTTCTCTATCTCAACCACAAACACACCCGATCCTGGAGGAGGACATGGGCTAAACTGGCAGCCAGCTACAGTGGAAAGACCTGCAGTCCAGTTATGACTTCATCACTCACTAGCTGTGACTTCGGTGCTACAGTTATCCTGCCTGTGAAATGGGTATAATAACACTGCCTATTTCCCACATTTGTAGTGAGGATCAAACTCACATATGTAAAATTACAAAATGTAGTGCCTGAATCACAGGAACTCATTAAATTGCAGCCTTCTTGGTACTGTTGTGAAGAAAATGCCCAGCGCAGTGCCTGGCACACCATCGTCTTCAAATATATTAGTTTCTTCTTCCCTCTTCCTTTATTTTATTTTATTTCTTTTTAATATTTTTTATTGATTTTAGAGATGAAGGGAGAAGAAGAGAGGGATAGAAGCATCAATAATGAGGGAGAATCATTGATCGGCTGCCACCTGCACGCCCCCTACTGGAGATCGAGCATGCGACCCAGGCATGTGCCCTTGACAGGAATCAAACCCGGGACCCTTCAGTCCACAGGCTGACGCTCTATCCACTGAGCCAAACCAGCTAAGGCTTCCCTCTTCCTTTAAAAGAACATCCAGGATTGTTTCAAATGGTCACCCACAAATAATGCACTTAGGCCTCAAAGGATTGATTGAAAGGAAGCACCCCAACCGGCTCTGAATGGCCCCTGGTAAATTAAACACCTCCCGCTCCAGTCAGCACTTAAAGAAGCAAGTGGGGTTTTCAAAGAAATAAGGTAATAGGCATGCTTAGCATTATTTTGTCTCTCATGTGCATTTTATCCAGTTGCCATTTAGGAGGAAATTTTCTGATCTGAATGCCTAGCAATCATACTAACTGTCTAGCAATTCACTCAACTATGGCACTTAGACTAGGATTCCGCCTTTACACACTACCCTTCAAGGGCAGTGAAAATCAAGGAGTCTGCACATAATGCTAAATGGAAGCTAGAAGTGCATGCGTGCGCGCGCGAGCGCGTGTGTGTGTGTGTGTGTGTGTGTGTGTGTGTGTGTGATCTCTAAGATACAAGAGACATGCAGAGCAAAACAAAGGAAATAGTCCACCTGATTACTGGATCCCTCTCGAAGAACTTAATCAAATGACTGTTTTATTAACTCTCACCATCCTGTCTTTCTTAAAAAAATTAATAGACTTTCATTTTTAGAGTAGGAAGTACAGAGCGTTTCCACATACTCCTAGCCCCCATTTCTCTCACTTTCCCCTATTAACTTCTGACACTGACAGTGGCATTTTTCTTTTTTACAATTTATGAACCAATCTTGATACATTACTATTAACTAAAGTCCACAGTTTACATTGTGGTTCACTCTTTGCTTCGTAGGTTTGTGGGTATTGCTGAGTACTTAATGCTAAGCACCCACCATTGCAGTATCATAGCATATTTTCACTGCCCTAAAAATCCCGTGTTCCAACTATTCATTGCTCCCTCCCCCCATTCCAACCCCTGGCATTCACTGGTCTTTTAACAGCCTCTTTGGTTTTGTCTTTTCCAGAACATCATATGGATGGAACCATGTAGTATGTAGCTTTTTCAGACAAGCTTCTTTCACTGAACAGAATGTACTTAGATTCTTTTGTATCAAGTCACGTGTTCAATGACTTGATAGCTTGCTTCTTTTTATTGCCAAATAATATTCCATCGCATACATGTATAGTCTGTTTGTCCATTCACCTGCCAATGGACATCTTGGCTGCTCCTTGGTTTAACCAGTTATGAATACAGCTGCTATAAACATTCATGTGTAGGTTTTGTCTGTGGATGCAAGTTTTCAATGCCTTTGGGTAAATACGTAGGAGCATGTCACTAGATTGCACGGTGAGACTACTAGTATGTCTAGCTTTGTAGGAAACCGCCAAACTGCCTTCCGAAGTGGCCATGGCATCATGCATTCCCACCAGCAGTGAATGGGGGCTGCTCCACATCCTCACCCGCGCTGATTAATGTTCTCCGCGTTTTGGATTTTAGCCATTCTAATAAGGTGTGCAGTGAGTGGTAACACAATTCTCCAATGACACATGATAATCCTGGCTTTTTTCGCTTCTGACAATTTTGTTTAAACTATTCTGGACCCTCTCATCCTATCCTCTAGGTTATTAACTTTGTTTTAATATTTCCCATTCCTTTATCTCTCTGTCCTGCCATTAGATCGCCTTTTTTTCCCCATTGACCTTCCCTCGGCCTCCCCGACCCCCGGCACATGCCCTCACCCCACCCCCTCCCCAGTGTCTTGTGTCCATTGGTTATGCTTATGTGCATGCATACAAGTCCTTCGGTTGATCTCTTACCACCCCCCCCACCCCACCCCCCAGCACAATTCACCATAGCTAAGATTTGGAAACAGCCTAAGTGCCCATCAATAGATGAATGGATTAGAAAACTGTGGTACATCTGCCAGTTCTTTTGATTGTACTGTCCTACTCCTCTGTTATTTTTAAAACTTTTATATTTAATAATTCAACCCCACAGTCTTTGGGTTATTCTCTGCCCTGCCTCCTCCCCGCTCCCTTGGTTCTTGGGGTTCCCATCTTATTGGTTGTGTGTGCTGCATCTCATGGTGGCTTTCTTCCCTGTGACATTAGTAACTTTTGGTTATGAGCTCATCTTCAGCAGACTGGTTCTCCCCCTACACCCAGAGGGCTCCCAAGCACACTGGGTTATAGAAGTGCCCCCAATGTGGGGTTCTGGGTTTGCTTCCATCACAGTCCCAGGGACTTGCAATGCACCAGTTTTAGTATGAAATTTGTTTACTGTAATTACCACACCATTTCAGTAGCATACATTTAGACCTCCATACTCATTTTGGTGTTAATTTCTCAGAGCTTCAAACAGATGGCAAACCTTCTTGTACTTTCTTCACTTTGATGGACAGTTTTATCTAATCTCCTTTTCACAGATGCGTTGACTCGCTCGAGGTCTCAGCCTCATGCAGTGGTATCATTTTCTACTCCCTTGCATGGTCCATGGACCCCAAGTGGATGTTAAAGGCCGTCTCCCCTTAGATGCTGCACCTCAGCTGAAAAGTGCCATGGGAACATCTGAGTCCCCTCTGTTTCTGGCGCCTAAAGAATTCCCTTTCTTTTTCACTTTGTGCACTGTGGGAGTGTGGGAGTGTGGGAGAGTGTGAATGTGCATATGTGCAATTGCATGTAATCCTGAGTTCTGTGTTTGCAGCATGACAGGGCACATGGGCCTTGGGTTTTCCATTGTCCACAACCATATACGCATGTATAACTTTTGTAATCAGGATTTAAACCGCGTATGTATTCATGGAAGGAGAAAATAGGATATGTGCCGCTTTAGAAATTCTTCACAAGGAAAGGTGCTGGTTACTCAGTCGTGCAGGCAAAGTGATGGGAAGGGCTATCCTGATTTCCAGTCCTCTCCTCCCAGCAACCCCCGGTGCTTCCACAGAGCTGCAAACGTCATGGGAGACACTGTCACATTATCTCATTATCCACTCAACGCTGCCACCACCTTGTCCAAGAGTTACAGTATGGGTTCGTCTTGTCAAAAAAACTCTGAGGCCATCCCCTCAAAAATACTGTGTGCCGCTGACTTCCCACACTTTGGAGTCTGTGGGGACACAAAAATGGGTCTTTTCCCATGTTCTGTCACATTCCCAGCACATCTTCCTTTTGCTGTTGTCTCAGAGACAGCCAGGCTTGTGTACCTGTAACACTGTCAGTCTGGGTATAAGACACATCATCTTGATTCCTTTCAGAATGTGAATATCAAGACTTTCCCTTGCCCTCTGCCCAAAAACCGCCTCTCTCTTTGAATAAGTCCACTGGGTAAACCAGACCCACATCCAGAGAGGAGAACAAAACGCAGTTCTCAATGCCAATTGCAGCCTGTTCCAATCACTTTCCAGTTATTCATTTCCTGCCTCACAGCCTTCTGCTACGCGTGTACTGAACTGCAGTTCAAATACTTTATTTCGTTTTTAATTTACTCAAGTATATTGTAATCTCCTTAAGGGAGACGAGGGACCATGTGTTATGATTTTGGTGTTTCTCGTGGCCTGCAGCACATAGCAAGCGCTGAACCTGTATTTTCCGTTTGTTTCTTTCCTTACAACCCCAGGCTTAAATGGGGCAGCACTGCAAAACGTGCAGGTCTGTGGGGTGAGCGTTTCTGCCATATAAACAGAGAAAATGCAGAGCAAGAGGGAACGTGCAGTGGGCCCCAGCTAAGAAGCTGGGCATTTGCATGTCGTCAGCTGGCAAAGCGGCAAGTGCCATTTTTCCAAGGAGCAGCGCTGTGATGTTCATTCGGCTGTCAGTTGCTCTGTTACAAAGAGGCCGTGATCCCTGTCGACGTGATCTTGTAAACTGGAGCTGGTAAATGGGACAATTAAATGTCTTTCCTGCAGCAGACTCATTCTCACTGCAAAGACAAAAGCTGAGAGCTCTCCTGGGAGGAGAGGGAGCCTGAGCAACGCTGAGTTTGCAGCCAGGCCCGTATTGTCTATTGTCTCGCTCTCTGCACCTGAGAGCCCAGAGCTCTCTCTCTCTCTCTCTATTTATACCTCTAATGACAGACAGGAAGCTCACGCGCACTTGAAGATGCCTTTGTATCCATGGAAGTTACACCTGTTCAGAAGACCTTCCTATATCTACCTTCAGGGAAGAAGGCATTGCCAGCACGGG